GACATGTCCACCCCTCCGAGTGTATTTCTGACATGAAATTAAAATTCCTCGCAAAGAAATCAGCAGCCGCTCGGAGGCAGCTAAGTATAAACTGTAGGTCCCTCCATTTGTTGGAAAAAAATCAAGATCCAAAACCAAATTGGCGGAGGAGCTCGGCCGAAAATCGCTTCAGCGGTTATAAAGCGCATATTATATGACATATATACTCGTACATATATATATATAGGGTTTATTTACCATGACTTGTATTTGTGTCCACAACTTTTTGTCATTTTGAAAGTAATCTCATTATGTCTCTCACCTAGAGATTTTTCTGCAAAAAATGTGGATAATCGTCAATCATAGGCTTCTCTTAATGCCAATGGTGAAGACACCATCAAAAGCAGGACCAGATGGTAGTCACTTGATGCGTGTTCCAGCCTATAAGGTGCATATATTAGCACCTCACAGCCAAGCTCTCGGAGCTGCAACAAAATCACCCCCCCGTTGGCCAAAGCTGGGCGCCTATGAATAATTTCTGCTCTCAGACAATCCAACTGCATACAGCACAGGATCGACTTAAGAGTTCAAGGGAAGAGATAATTCCTTACCAATAACGACAAACCTTTCTGGTAGTCTAGCCTTGCTTGGAGACCATTTGTGATGGCTCACTGTTGACTGTGCTCATTTGACGTCACATGATCGTAAGTGATCCACTTTTTATCACCACTGACCATCTTTTTCAGAAATGGGTGGATTTTGTTTCGATTCAGCAGCGATTTCCAGTAGGAATTCCGTCCATAAGGCTTTCCCGGGCTTCTTTGTGTATGTCCAACGTTTTTCATCTGGCTCCAGGCCGATCGAAAGAGGTCTCGCGACAGTCAGACTCGTCAATTTCTATTACCCTTTCGACATTTTCGTCAATTCCAGAGATGATTCGTCTCTTATAATTTCTGTACCGAAATTGAACCAAAGTAATTCATGATTGACAATTTGAGAACTAGAATCCTAAAAACGATTCAGAATTTCAGCTGCATGAATTGCGCTTTGTCGCTTGCTGGCTGTATGATGGACTGACTCCTCAAATAACGATAGCAAAGTTGAAGAATGGTCATGTCTACATGAAAGACTAAAGTCGACTTTTTTAAGCTGCTTCGGCAGACGCGTAACGGCTTTAATGAAATAGGGAACTGGCATCCTTCACGGAAAAGTTTAAACATCATCAGAATGAGTCATCTAATGCTGAACCAAGCAACGCTCAGCCTTACTATCTTACTGATCTGGGTACTCCATGACCATTAGGCATTTAACAAAAACTTTTTTTTGTACCTTCAATATAGATTTAATCAAACTCTCATCACCTGGTCCTCATTTGGAGTAGCCACGAAAAAGCTCTTTATACGACTTTGGTGAAGCCAATATGGTTCACTCATATAAAACCATGATTAGCAAGCTTTATTTGATAAGCTGGAGGATTTCCAAAAACATTTTTTTTTTTTTTTGTCTTAAGATTTTTCGGCTGAGACTCTATAATAAATCTTCTGCTCTGCGCCAACCGTTTAAGTCTACCTGCCCACGTAAGTTGTAGACAAATTTTAGACAAATTGCAGTTCGTAGTTCATGGCTCTTGTCTCAAGTAGGCTTGAATGTTCCAACTGATGGACTTAGGCAGTCTGGGACTTTACCAATAAATTCTTGTAAAAATCTCTTGAACTAAAGGAATTATTTTGCCGAATAAGACACGATTTTAATCATCGCTCCAGCACTTTCGAGCTCTCAGTCTTATTTTTTTATTTTGTCTGCTTCTTCCGATTATTAAATTTTAAAAATTTCGAAAAACCAAATTTAAGCTTTTAAATAAATTTGTTTGCCTTGGCCTAAACGTTTTCAATCTCCACTTTCAACTAGCTCTTCTTTAAGGACGAGAATTTGCTATGAATTAAATAAAATATGTTCAGCCTAGGAATTTATGAAGACATCTTTCGTGGCATGGCGGAGTTTTCACTTAGAAAATTTATTTCTTCATTTTCAAACATTTTTTGACCTTTTTAAATGCGTATAAATAAATCGTCAATCGCTGTATATGTTATTTTTTGAAAATGAATACAATAAATAATTCATGCACATAATCCTTTAAGCTCTCACACAAACAAAAAAATAGAAAAATTTTGATTTTTATATCTGTTTTGGAATTCAGATTAACACCATAAATTCAATTAAGTAATAAAATTGAAATTGAAAGAGGCAAGCATTTTGCATGAATATGCACACTCTGCAAACTAAAGTGGCGATTTATACATATATATATATATGTAGAAATGTGCATGTATGCATATATGTGTAGAGCTAGCCAATTTCATAAAACCATTTAGAGAAATTGGTATTATTAAACTGATACTGTGTAAAATATGAAAAGCTTGCCATTGACAGCAAAAAAAAAAGAAATTTGAATAAAAGGTTTAATATTCGAAAGAAATTCATGTTTAAAAAATGTAGTTTAATACATATATATATATGTACGGTTTAAACTGATTGACCATTGAATTGAACAAAAGGATTTTGATTTTCGTTCTGTTCGCAAAAAATATAAGTGATTTATAGATAAAAAAGCTCTCGTACAAAGTGTTTATGAGTTTTTAAGCCCGATTGCTAAATTTGAATTGGATAAAGTAAAAGCTTAGAGAAATATATGTTGCATTTAAACTACGAAGATATTTATGGAATAATGTGTACGTAGATGGTGGTAGAAGAAAAATGAAAAAAGCTCTTCCAAAATAATTTTTTACTATTTTAATATTTCTTTTTTTTTTTAATTTCATTTCATTTTATCCCTATACCGGTTGTTTTTTATATTACAATTAGTGTTATAATTTTTAATTTATTTATTTTAATATATTTAATTTAATTTTGTTTAATTACTTTTATTTTATGAAAATGTGTAATTTTTATTTTATTTTATTTATTTTTTTTAACTATTTAATTTAGGCTAAATTTATTACATTTAATTTTATAATATAGTTTTATTGTATTTATTTTTTTCAATCCTTATAATTATTTTACCTTAGTTAGTTTTATTTTTTTAATCTTTCTTTGTTTTTATTTTATTTCATTTTTTTATTAATTTTTTTTCTGAAAATGTGATAATTTCATTTCATTTTATATATTTTTTAGCGACTTTATTTAGATTCAATTTATTTAATTTTTTTATAATTATATTATATTTAGCTTTGCTATTTTATTTAAATCCTTATAATGATTTTGCTTTATATGATTTAATTTAATTTAATTTTATTTTACTTTCTTGTGTTTTAGTTTATATTTTTTTTATTTCATTTTATGACTTGACTTATTTAACATTATTTTCTTTCGAATTATTTTCCTTTCTTGAATTTACTTTTATTTTAATTTACTTTTGCGGCGGCCGCGGTAACCGAGTGGTTAACATTGCGTACTGACTCGGCCGAAAAATCGTTTCAGTGGTTATCTATTGTATTATTACATTTATTTTCAATTTTATTTAATCTTATTTATTACTACCATTATTACTTATATTTTTATTTAAGTTTGTTTAAATTTGTTTTATTTTATTAATGAAGTAAAATACAATTTATATTGCTTTATTCTTTCATATTCTGTAATTGTCTCAAACTAAGTTTATTTTACCCGAATTTGCTTAAATTATTTTATTTTGTTTTAATTAATTTAATTAATTTTTTTTTTACATTAAGTAAACGAAATTTTTTACTCCATATTATTCTATTTCATTTTGCTTCCTTTAATAAATTTTCTAAATTTATTTAATTTTTCCATTTAACTTAATTTAATTTTAATTTATATCACACTTTCTTATTTTATTTTATTTTACTCTATTTATTTTCATTTAAATTAGTTTTATTTAAATAAAATGTATTTTATCTTTTTTATTGTGCTTTATTTAATTTTATTTCAATTTTAATTTTTTTATGCAGCTATATTTTGTATTATGTTATTTTATTTTATTTTGGATTAAATTATTCTATTTTATTTCTTTTATTTAATTAAATATATTTTAATTTTATTATCATATATTTTTCATTATATTTTAATCTATTCTACTTACATTTTATATTATTTTTATTATGTTTTTTTACTTCATTTTATTTTCTTTTTTTTATATAATTTTCCTTTTCATTTTGTTTTTGGTTTTACTTTATTTTCTTTTATTTATTTTTTTTTTCTTTTATTTAATTTTACTCATTTTACTTTACACTATTTAATTTTAAATATTATTTTTTATTTTGTTATATTTGATTTTATGCTTTTTTATTTCATATTATTTTATTTTATTTTATTTTATTGGTTTTAATTTATTTCCAATTTATTTCACTTTTATTTATTTTATTTTATTCTTCTCTATTTGTAGTAATTTAATTTAAATATATTCTATTTTGTTTTGCTTTTTTGTTTTCTTTGATTTCATTTTATTTCCGTTTTAGTCTTATTTAATTTTTTATTTTCTTTTATATTATATTTATTATTTGAATTGTTTTATCTTGTTTTTATTGTATTTTATTTTGTTTTTTTTTTTTTTTATTTACCTTGACTTCATTTTATTTCATTTAATTTTGTTAATTTTTTTTTCATTTGATTTAATTTGTTGAAAAATTTTTTTAGATTTATTTAATTTAAGCTGAGTTTCATTAATTTCATTTTATTTAAATACAATAAAAATTATTTCATTTAAATAAAGTAAAATATTGGATTTGTGAAATTCTTAAATTTATTCAAACCAGAGAAGAAAATCATAAAGAAATAGTTACGTATACGCCATGTTTAATTATTTACAGATAATCATAATGAAAACACTCAACTCACAAAGCGAAGCTCATGCATAATTCATAAGCATGCTACGACGAAATGAAATATATTAAAAATATAGATTGTGAGAAACAGGCAGTTAGTTTTTAATGAAATGCAAACAAAAACAAATATGTAAGCAAAAGAATGTAAAGTATTGAAATTAATATTTGAAATAAACTTACAACCACAAGCCACTCAGCTGCCTTTGTTGTTGTCTTTTTCGTTGCATTAACACGCTGATGAGCGGCAGATAAGCGATTACCAAAAATGCTGATCGGCATTGCACGACACAATATAGACACACATACGCACATCAATCACGTTGCTTATAACGGGTAAGTATGCAGCTATGTAAATGCATGTGTTTCTGTTTTGGAGATATGTGTAAACACTAAAATTTATTTATGAGTATTTGACTAAGTGTTGGTGTTGGTGTTTTTCATTGTTTAGTTGCTTAATTGCTAAAACACTAAGTTAATATAGTGTAGATTTGTTATAAAAAAAATATTTTATATTAATTGCAAGCACAATATTTCATACTTAGTTTAGTTCTATACTCTTTTAATTCAATATATAGTTAATATTTAAAATTTTTTTTTTATTATTTTCTACTTTTCAAGTTTGTATTTATATTTTTTTTTATTTTATCTAAACACAACAGGAACGTATATTTGCCAGTTTATCAGTTGAACATTTATATTACTACTTATAGGAGAGAGTATTTGTTATATTCGCTAATAGGAGCGTGCAACACATATCAGCTACTATAAATATATGTATATAGTTGGCTTTGAGTGCAAATTTAGGGGTTTGGATAAGATTGTTTTATTGTTATTCGTTTTTTCGTTACTGATTTTCTTTGATTTCCATTTGTTTATAGCAAATTTGTAGTCTTTAATGTTTTGCTATTAATTTATGCTTGTCGCTATTTATTTTGAAGTTTTAACTAAAAATTAGAAAACACAATATTTTTTACAAATTATAATATTTATTTATTAAAAATTAGACAAAAAAAAATCTTTCAAATAAAAATGTCAATGAAGTTTTTTACTATAAGTAAAAAAAGTTTTTTTTTTTTATAATTTAAGGCCTGATTTTACTTTTTTATGACTACTTTAACGTTTTTAGTTTCAGTTTAAATTTAATATCAATTTAAATTTAATTTCAATTTACATTTAGTTTCTTTAATTTCATAGTTTTTAATTGTATTTAATTTAAGCCATTTTTCAATTGGTGCTCCACTAAACATCAAAAAAAAGAAAAAGAAATCTCCGTTACACTCATACATAAACAACTAAAAAACCTATTAACAATTTTAACTTTTCTAAATACATATAGAAAACATATAAAAAGATGTATGTGAATATGCATATCCACGCTTGCTCCCAAAAGTTTCGAAAATATTTTTCAATTAATTTTATTTTGTTTAATTTTGCTCTTTTATTTGTTTTAGCTATTAAATGTTATTGTTGCAACCCCGTTCGCCACTATATTCTAATGTTCTCCCTTCTCCATTCTCCCCTCACTATCGCTCTCTCTACCTCTTTCTCTTACTCTCTCTCTGTAGATATTACCTGAAGCGCTTTTCACTTAACCCTTACACACAGCCACACGAATTGTATTGATTATGACTTTTTGTATTTACTGAAGTGTGCACTTAAAAGTACCGTTGTTTTAGTTGTTTAACTAAAATTACTGTTGGATTACACACATACCGCTGCGCATAGCTATAATTTAGTTTACATTAATGCACAGCAGACAGCAGAAGAGTAGACAAATTATTCGGTTGCTTGTTGTTGTAGTGTTAGATATTGTTGCCGTTGCTGTTGTTGTTGTTGTTTTAATTGCATTAATTTATTAAAACGTATTGCGTTTAATTGATTTACTTGCACAAAAATGAATGCTGACTTTTTAGCTTTCGCACATTAATTTCACAAAAAAATATGTTTATTTAATATTATTATTTTTTTTTTTGTTTGTTGTGTTCGGCAAAAACAAATAATTATGCAATTTTAATTAATTTTTTTTTTGTGAATCCTTTTTATATGCATTTATACGCCATTTAAATTTTATTTATTTATTTTTATTTTTATTTTTATTTTTTTGCTGCGTAATTGACAGTGCTTTCGCTAGCAGATATTTGTTTTGTTTAGAATATATTTATTTTGTTAATTATAAAAATTGAATTTTTTTTGTTGGCTTATTTATTTACATTATTGTTGTATGTCAACACTTTCAATTTGTATGAATTTATGTAAGATATTTTTTTCATGCTAAATTTTCACTAATTCTGAACGAGAGGCCGTTGAATTTTGTTAAATTTTTATTTTTTTAATGCTATAAATTATTTGTTTTTGCTCTTTGACCTTTTGCCGCAAAAGCATTTCTGTAATTGTTTTATTCACCTCTATACTCTTTCACACATCTTCACATATATGTATATATATATATATTTATATTTATATGTATATATTTACTCTTGCACTTAACAGTTAATTAAAGCTTTTACCATTTTCCTCAGTTTTTATATGTACACTTATATGTTATTTAAAGCTAAACGCTAACTGTACACTTAAATAATCGCATTTAATTGTGGTTAAAATTAAAATTGGCTTATTATTATTATTATTAGCTAATTTCAATTAGTTGAAAGCACTTAATTTATTTGACTTAATTGGTTCTTAGTTATGAAGTTTTGTTGCCATAAATATTTAACGAAATTTTTATTTAATTTTTTGTTTGTATTTTTTTTTTTTGTTACTTTTTACTATGTCTTAATATAAATTGTTTTTGTTTTCATATAAATATTAATTTTATTTTTTCGAAATTTCTTCTAGTTGATTAGTGTAAATTTATTCAGTCAACTTGTATAGAGATTTGTAAAGTTTATTAGAGTTTACGTGCTCCTCTGCTCTGGCCAGCTGGGTATTATTTAAATATATTAACAGCATCAGCCTATAATTAATAACCAATAAAAGCTTGAAATGTTTTCGCATTAAATATTTTTCACTAAAAAAAATATTTCTTTCTTTTCAAATTTAATTGCTCTGCAAAACTTTTATTGTTGTTATTATTATAATTAATTTATTTTTATAATTAAATTTTACTTAAGTGTTAGTAAATAATATAATATTTTTTTTTCAAGATTTTTTCTTTTCACTTAATAAAAAATAAACCATTATTTTTGCAATCCATAACTTTAGTGATCTGTTTCTCGGGTTCTGTAAGTGCGATTGGATTACGCTAGATAGCGGAGGAAGGATATTAGACGATAGAAGGCCCATTGTCGAAAATGGTGATAAAATAAGGGAAATCGCCGAGTCCCCGGAAAAGGCTGAATACAAAAAGAAGCTCAATGTATGTGTGCCAAACATGGACATCATATTAATATAAACCCATTTTTGAGGCGGATTGTTACAGATGATGCAAAGTGAATGACTTACAGCAACATCAAGTGTAAACGTTCCAAAACCCGAGAGGATTTGTGCTCCATCAGGACAGCGCCAGACTACACTCACCGATAGTGACTCGCCAGAAGCTCCGCGAGCTGGATTGGAAGGTTCTTACACATCTAGCTTATATTCCGAACCTCTAGAGCCCTAAGCGATCACCATATGCTTTTCTCTATGATGAAGGTTTTGGCTGGTAAAGAATTGACCTGAAGGGAAGTCTGTAAAAATCGATTGCGCCAAATAATTGCCAATAGGGACAAAAATATCTATGGGTTAGGCATAAGAGTACTGATGACAACTAAAGTAGAGCGCACATTTTTGAGCTAAAGTGAGAACGCAAATTTCAGCGAATGCCGTGCAGTTGTGTTTAGAGTTTGGGTGTCTCTCTACATAAAATATGTACTCCATAAATTTAGAAACAGTTTAGAGTAGCCTCTCCTTGTGACATATGATTTAATTTACACAATTTGAGGGTATGCACCTGGGGACTTCGGAACCCTTTATTGAGAAAAACTATCTTTAATCGACTAAAAGCCGGCACAACCATCATCCAGGAGGCTGAAATAAGAACGAAAGATGGTCGGTCTATATACTCCTAATATCTACTTCAGCGCTTAGAAGGGTAAGTCCGCTTAGTACTGGGTTTGTGGTAGAGATTTTATCACCGTCATCAGCGATATCAACGCGAAACTATTGATTTTATCGCTGATAGTGACCGCGCGAAGAAAAATTCAACTGAAGATACTTTCCATACACTACGAGTACTAGGTACGATGCAAAAATTAAGCTGAGGTGAGGTGATTTACACACAAAATAAAATTTAGCAAATTATACCCCTCAATAATCATAACATAACATAAATCGCGCAACCAAATAAATTTTTGTGTTTGCAGAGTTCTAGATCTTCGTAGATTTTAAGAACCTTATATGGAGATGGATGATTATTTTGTAGCAGCGAATATACATACCCGCCTCTAGTAAGCAAAGAACGCCACGTTAAGAAAACAGAAAGAAGGTCCAACCACGAAATGTGGGAAAAACAACAGTCAGCCGAGCGGTGTTCTGCTTTTCCTGCACTCTTAGTCTGTGCCACTGACTCGGTCTAAGGAAACTACGGGGAGGCTGGTACGACTAAGACTACCACGCAGTAGTGGAGAGAAAACATGATGCCTACTCTAGAGCGTTACAAGCGCAGTAGTCACCGAAGTAATGGAGTAGATACCGAGAGCTGAAGAGGCAAGCCAAGATATATTTGCAGATACAAAAAATGAGTTGTCGAAGGCATGAAGACGAAGGATGAAGAATATATTGCTCGGAATACTCGAAAATTTACTTATTTAGGAACGGGAAGTTACTGCTGGCTACTGAGAGGCAGTGAAAGCTCCGCATCCGCTGTTGAAAATTCCGAGTCTTCAAATAAATGATAGTAGAAGAAGCGTCTTTGACACAGTTCGAATTGCTCACTAAAGGAAAACAAAGCGGCAGAAGGCGACTGCTCACATTAACGTCTTTGCGGAGTATGGTTGAACGTTTGGTTTCGAAATCGCATGCGAAAAAAGTGCGAGTGATGACTTTGTTCGATAGAACTGTAAAGCAACTGAGCGGAAATACATTGAGCGGTACAAAATGCACTAGAAATCGATGAATCGTAATTTATTTGCCTTTTTGCCATCAGCAAGTAGTTAAAAGCCTCATTTTTAATTTTTATATGAAAACTCTTAAATAATATAAATTCTCTATTGATAAATTTAATGTCTTTGCTTGAGTTTCCTTCTTTTTTATTTACAGTTTGTACAAAAAAAAAAATTAATTAAAATGTCTGTGGAATTGCAATAGTTGTGGTTTTTAAATATATTCATCAGCTTATGGATATTTTATCGATATGTTGAAGAGTCACTTATCAATTAAGGCAGTCATGTAAAATGCTTTAATTTTAATTAATTTTATAGTTTAAATGTTTATATACGGATTAAAAGTAAATTCTGTTATTAAAATTTTTGTTATTTTTTTAATTTTTTTAAATAAGAATAATGCAAGTTTCAGAGCGTACTTAATTTATATTGTAAAAATATTTATACACTTTGTTGCAATGTTGACATATTTTTTAAATTTCCAATACACTTAATTTTTTCCACTAATTTTCCAGCATTTTTATTATTTATTGACTTGTTAAGTTAAAGCAATCTTTGGCGTATATTTATATACTTTTTTACAGTTCTTAAAATAACATCACATTTACTGTAATAAATAGTATGTGGAGAACATATTTTACTTTGTGAAAAAATCGAAAAAAAATGTATCTGGAATTTAAT